TATAACATTTGTTTAATGAAGTCAGAATCAAGAGTTAACATACCTTCAAGGGCAAATACCAAAATATCTTTATGGAACATATTTTTTAAAACGAGATATTTAGGGAGAAATCCTCATTCCTAATTCATTGAGACTTCAGAGTTCAATATGTCAAATTCTGAAACATGCGATTCCCACGCTTCAATACTGAGGTAAGATGATGATTTGAAAAGATTCCAATTCAAGAGATTTTTGTTTGGTATTTCATTTTATAATAGAGGAGTGTTCATAATGACCTTATAAACTTACAGTTAGTTACTGAATAGTGGAATATTTAATAGCAAATTTTTTCGAGGAATGTAATATTTATTTAATCATGGCGCACATATAAAAGTCTTTATGGCTACACGAATGCTCTCAATTTGTCAAGATATCAATTGTCCTCCGTAGACTCTATAATTAAACCTTTTTTAAATTCCAATGCCTTGCATCAAAGAATACATAGTGCTCAAAATACATATTTGTTCTTTCTTTGAATTGAAAATAAAAAATAATATGTACTAAAAGGCAGAATCGGATCTATGGGGCTGACAAATTTCTAAGTAACATGAACAATTGACCTACCAATTTATACCTTATGATCTCAAATACTATATCTCCCAAAAATTGTAAAAATCGATCCTTAGATTTCCTGAAAAAAGTGTACACTATGGGGATTTTCAGAAAATAGACATGAAAAGAAATGACATAAGCCTGAAATATTCTGAGATTGAAACAATTTTTCGTTATGTATGCTGCTCGCTAAATCTGGTTCTCTATTTAATAACTTTGGAAACATTTCATTCCCTATCAACGTTCGTTGTTTTTTATTATTAATAATGTCGAGAATCATTTTGAGAAATGAAATTTTTTTAGAAAAAAATGGAATGGTATTTACCACAAATGACAGTGATCATGATGAATACAGGAGCAATTGTGCTGTAAACTTCAAAGGGACTTAGTGGTATAATTTCTGCCATCATGCAAATCTGTTTGGCTTTATAGTGCTAATGCTCAGTGTCCTGCTAATAGTGAGTGTGTGTCATGGTACAAGTGGCCAAACACAATTGGCTCACCAAACGACCATCACAATTCTTTTAAAAAGATTGACATGAAAGTTTGCCTAAAATAAGATTATCCTCCTGGGTCTTTCAACAATTTCCAACAAAAAATATTACATTCAGTATTCATATTATTCACATTATAATTGTATTATAAAATATTAGCCCGATTGTATTCCTTTATTAAAATTCAATCTTTATTGTAATGCCAGTAATAATATGAAGGGTCAACTTAAACGCACAAATGATTCACATATATATTTCTTATGTTTATATTGATTTATGCAACGCAAAATTAAAGTAAATAGAGCCTAGAGCGCTCTTTAGAGATTTTCTATTTGAATCTCCATTGAATTTTCACTTAATGAAAATGGTAGATGGTACCTCACATGGTACATATCGTAAAGATGATACAATATAAAGAGCAAACGGATCAAAAGAGATTATACAGAACAAAATTGTATTGTAAAAACTTCAATTTTATTATGTTGAACAATATTCAGATTGTTCGGATCAACAAAAAATTGTAAAGGACAATAACCCTATAGTATGAAACATCATCCATATTTTCAGAACAACTATAAAGAAATTGTATGGAACAAAAAATATTGCACAAAACAATAACTGTATTATATAAAACATCAATAATATTGTGCTTAACGACAATATACAGATTGCACAGGACAAAAGGATTGTACATAACGATACGCTTATTATATGAAACATCAAGATTATAGTGCTGAAAAACAATAACTTAAAGACTGTACGGAACAGCAAAATATTGTACAGAACAGCAACCGTGTTGTATGAAAGATCAACATTATTATGACAAACAATAATATAACGATTTTACTTATCAATTGGAAAAACGTTGATACACGACCCTTAAATGAAGATAGTAATGTGTCGCGACTTTAAAGTATGCACAAGAAACGCTCATAATAATATCCTTGGTACCCTCATTAATAGCTCGCTTACAATATTTTCTATTTAATGCAGTAAGACTCATTCCCTCATGATATTTTCTCCTTTCGAAGGGTGTAATCAATATGACTTTCTAGTTTTGACCGAGACGTTCTCCACTTGATGCCATTTTCATACGAAGCATTCTTTCTCATTTAGTGAGTCTATTCTACAAAAAAGAAATTTATTGTAAGGAAAATGTCTTGGTACAGAACATAAACTTTTTGTATGGGGTATATACTTTATTGTAAAGAACAGCCTAAGACTGCATGAAGCAATAACTATTATGTATGAAACAACAACATCATCGCGCTGAACAACATAATTAATGTTGTACGGAACAAGAAAGGATTGTATACTACAATAAGCGAATTTCATGAAACATAACATTATTGCGCGGACAACAATATACAGATTGTACGGATCAACAAAAAAAACTGTACAGGATAATAACCGTATTGTATGAAACATCAACGTTATTGTGCTGGACAACAATATACATTTACAATATATGTTCTTCAGTCTGAGAAACAAAGGATTGTACAGAACACCTTATTGTATGAAACAACATGATGCTTAACAATGTAAAGATTGTATGGAACATGACAATATTGTACAGATCGATGTCTGAAATATAGAAAGATCAACATTATTGTTCTGAACAATAATATTTAGATTGTACGGAACAACAATGCATTGTACAGTACAATAACCGTGTATTGTATGATACATCAACATCATGCATCATGCTGAACAATAAAACAAATATTGAAGAGAGTAGCATAATATTGTACAAAACAATAGCCTCGTCGTATAGAACAGCATTATGCTTAACAACATCATAACGATTGAGGTTGTATCTTCATATTGAAACTTCACTGCTGTGCTGAGCATACTTGTACAAATTGTGAATTTTTTCAATTTATTTTGTTTTTGAGTCGACTGCGTTTGACATTGAATGTGGTTAGGTTATTTGGAATAGTTGATCTAATGAGTGATTTTTTAAGAGAGAATTCTTTAATTGCTGGCTGGAAAATCTTGTCTGATTTCTGAACTGCTCAGCACGCAGGTGAAATTGTAGATGTGAATCCAACATGTATGTGTATCTGTACAGAGCGCCACCTTTCAATATCCAATTTACTCGAAACTTGATATTGATGTTTCAACTGTGAGCGCTAATATAGCTGAATATAGCTGCCATCTTACTAAGACATTTTTGATATTTTTGTGACTTCTCAGGTTCAACTTAAGTCAGCGTTTGCCTATTTAATTATCGCCAGGGTAATTCATGTTATTTGCTTTGATTGGTATTTGATAAAACTGATCATTGAAATGTGACAAGTCAAGTAGTCTTCACTTGACTTGCCATGGGAGGGGGTCCAAATGCTCCCGATCTATTGGTATGTAAATGGCAAAATCAATAGGCAAATCAGCTTTGCACGCTTTAAAGCGCCATCAAAGCGCCGTTGGTGTGAACTTAGTGTTAGTGTCAATATGGTCATCCCTGGCTAATCATATGTATACTTGTTCTCGTCACGATAACTATCCCGTATTTTTTTTCGTGTATCATCAATTTTTGTCTTACGACATCTGGTCCTTGCCACACAAGAGATGACAACGATACACACAGCGAGGATGATAACTCCAGAAATAACGCCAATTACGTGGGAAGACCTGAAATCAACAAACGAAATTTGAATCAGCTACTTTCTAATATTTCAAACTTCAATGCGATATCAACACCCTTATGCTCCAACGAGAGCGGCACATACAAGGGGGTATAATAAACTTGAATATTCAAACTTCTTTTTGGGGACATCATAAAATGCTGTCCGAAAAACACGGCTTGATATTTATGAAATTACGATTCGTCTCATCAAAATATTTTTACCTCGGTATTATATTAGTCCCATGCTATTCCACGGACCAACCAACATACACAATAAGCGAGTAAAACTGATTTATGCAATCATCTTATGCGGTCAACAGTTCTTTTCAGGTCAATAGTGCTTTCGTGGTTTAACGTTTACTTACATGTATTTGATGACAATGAAATACTTGCGCTGTGAAGAAATTTCATGTTTCCCAGCGTACCTCAAAAAATAATACCTCAATCAACCAACAATTTTCAACTATTTGAACTTCTTGTTACTTTTCGCAACTCAATAGCCTTTGGTATTTGGGAGTCTGGTTCTCTTATAATGGGAATTTTCGCAAGAATGTTAATTTATTATTACGAAATGCAGAAAATGCTATGTATAGTGTCTTAGGGAGATGTACAGAGATGAGCTTGCCACTCGATATACAATTACATTTATTTGACTCATTAATATTGCCAATTTTTACTTATGGTTGTGAGGTATGGGGGTGCTCCAAAGCAATGCTCAAGTATGAAAAACTTCATTAAAAATATTGTAAATATATCTTGAGAGTTAAACGAGCAACACCATCGTTTATAATATACAGTCAGTTGGGTAGATACTCTATTGAAATATTAATAAAAACAAGGATAATTAATTTGTGATACTTAAAGTAGCAAAGTATATAAGGCAATGCTAAAACTATACCAGGAAGGTATTTATAAGTCACAGTGGTTAAAGTGTGTAGAGGATATTTAAAATGAAATAGGTTTTCCTAATATCTGGATATCTCAAAGTTTTGCAAAAGATTTGCACAAGGCAATTAAGACCAATATTAACTTTGAATCTGATCTCCATCACCCATTGAGCATACGTCTGTACATGACAAAATTTAGGATGTAAATAACTGTCATTGGATATTGTATCAATTTTATATTACACGTATATTGTATATGTATTTATATTCACAGGTGTGGGTAGAAATAAAAACTAAACTGAAACTGAAACTTTACAATAGATAGTACTGGTATACATACGAGCTCAATTTTCTTTCAGAATGGATAGTATACGATAAAATAAAATAAAAGATTGTATACTTACAAGTCCCAAAAGCCACAACAATACTGGGAATTCTGTTGACCGCAACAGTACACAAAATAGGATGGCTCAAACGGCAAGGGGCATGTGAAAGCACCTACATTTGTGCGATTTCCCCCAAGGTCTTTATTAAAGCACAATTCAGCATTACTGCTCCCATATCCTTTGTTCTGGTAATCTACAGAACGGTAGTTCGAATACAAACGGCTGTAGTATAAAGTATATCGACCGTGTCTGTAACTTGCACTGGAGGATCCTGGGAAATTCCTCCGTTGTTGGGCATTATACATCTGTGAGATTCTAAAATTGAAACAAAGTAAAGTCCAGGAACCAGGAATCGCCTAATCTGACATCCGTTCATTCCTGTTTACAACAGTATGTGTGATACACACAATGCTATCTTATTTTCTTCAGCTAGTGCGTGTGCACATCACATCACAATCGGAACAATGAACACAATGGTTCAAATTGTGTCCCGTGGTGTTCTTTGGTCAACGACCCATGATTAAATCGTGGCTTTATATCAATTACAAAAAAATGTTTGATTTTATTTGATTTATATTCGGTAAATGTGATTTTATCGAATGATTGATACCATAAAACAATAATCAGACAATTAAGATAAGACAATCGACATTCATTACACACAATGCTATCTTATTTTCTTCAGCTAGCGCGTGTGCACATCACTGTCACAATCGGAACAATGAACACAATGGTTCAAATTGTGTCTCGTGGTGTTCTTTGGTCAGCGACCCATGATTAAATCGTGGCTTTATATCAATTACAAAAAATGTTTGATTTTATTTGATTTATATTCGGTAAATGTGATTTTATCGAATGATTGATACCATAAAACAATAATCAGACAATTAAGATAAGACAATCGACATTCATTACACACAATGCTATCTTATTTTCTTCAGCTAGCGCGTGTGCACATCACTGTCACAATCGGAACAATGAACACAATGGTTCAAATTGTGTCCCGTGGTGTTCTTTGGTCAACGACCCATGATTAAATCGTGGCTTTATATCAATTACAAAAACTGTTTGATTTTATTTGAATTATATTCGGTAAATGTGATTTTATCGAATGATTGATACCATAAAACAATAATCAGACAATTAAGATAAGACAATCGACATTCATTACTAGTACATAAACATACTGCAGGAACATCACGGGAACATCCGACCCGACGTACAGATCCTTTCTTCGAGTATGAACTCCATCAATTCTTTATATTGGTATCCGTAACCAGAGATGACCAGAGATGCAACATCTACCAGATTCAATTAAGAAGCAACATACCTTTCGTTTGCCATGGATTGCGCTCTGGTGAATCTATATGAACTAATTCTATATCCGTTGTTCGAACTTCTTCCACTGCGCAACCCAAATCAAGAAATCTCCTATGGCAGCGTATACCGCTACACTAGCCGTATAGAATTCCCATATCATCAGTGATTAAGCCAGTTTGTTTGTCATCTGATACCTCTGCAGTAGAAGTCTTGGAAGAGTGTAACTACTAAACATTGATAAGGTGTAAACATGAATACTTAACTGTTAAAATGTCTAATGGATAGAACATAGAATAGTCTTATGTTAATTAAATGTAAAGGCTATGTAGAATGCTACAGTTCTAGTCACTAGTACCCCACACAAGTTTTTGATAATAACTTTGACCCGTGATTGGAACACTCTACCCTAAACTATTTGTTATAAAATTAGCACACTGATAAACTAGAGGTAATTCTGGAAATATACTTGCCTTGATATCTAGTTGTCAAGGTGTTGTCATGGTTGAATCATAAATGTACAGTTTGAACATCATGTAAATTGAAACAATATAGCAATTTGGTAAAACATTGGCCACTGTGTAGCATTTTGAAATTACTGCCTTTAACTATTATAAAACATATGACTCAATAAATGAAAATTGCCTCCAGATTATCTGTGCTTTTAATAACAAATAGTATAGGCAGAGATAAGGGTAGAATGTTCAAATCACTGGTTAAAGTTATGATCAAAAACTTGTGTGGGGTACTATAATACTGACCCTTCAGTACGCTCACACTCAATGTACAGTATTAAAAATACAAAAAAATTGCAACCGAAAAGGATATAAAGATCACAAAAAGAGTTTGCAAAGTTAACTATCTTGTATCATCTAATCAACCTCTACTGAAATCAATCTACTAAAATATTTGTCACTCAAAATAGATTAAAAAACGTTGAAAATATTTGAGATACATGTACCAGCATTCTTTCACAGTACTCTATTGAAAATTATTGATAGATCCAAGACTTTAGATGGATTCGACAAATAATATTAATGATAAAGTTTGCTACATTTAAAATGTAAAGGGTAACGCATTCTCTTAAAAGCAGTTTGGTTTGTCTATTACTGTAAACTCTTTATATAAGCGTAATCTTGCAGAAATAAATCAACGAAATCTCATCCTTTTAAATAATCTAACGATGATTTTTTAACAGTATACAGTCTATTTATTTATATTTCGTCAACAAACTAAATCAAATAAGATAAATAACATTATTATCTAAAAAACCTAAATGATGAGAAATTAAATATATTTCTCTGTTTACAGTAACACAAATCTGGGCTCTAGCTAAATCCTAATTCTGCTTTGAGAAGCAACTTCTGCAACTTGCTGGAATATGAAACCACATTAATGTTTGCGTTGACAGCTTAATGGGCCTAGATAGGGATTTAACATGTAGTATAGTTATACTGGTAGCGGTATACGCGTTTCTTGATTTGTTATATTGTATCTTGACTGTTCAAGGTTAAAACCACGTGATCTGCCCCCACCGGCGGAGTAAATTCTACTCGGGGTCCCCGAATATATCCGAGCTCTACCTCCCCCGCCTCTTGACCCGCCACGACCGCCACGGCAATAAACATCGATCTCTAAATTAGGAAGAAATTTATTTTGCAATATTTTCAAATAAGAAACAAACGAATTAACGAAGAGAATAAAAATATATAGGCACAAATGCCAAAAGGGAAGGGTGACTAAAAACGTTAAGGAAACCCAACAAAAGCAAACTGTACGTGTAAATCTGTCATAAGAAAAGTAGACCCTATATATCCAAAAACCATGATCTAACGTGAAAGGAAACAATGTCTAACATCCCCCTCCCCCTCCAATCGAGAACCAATATCACAATCCAGGACCAGAACACCAAGGGACATTTCATTCATACTGAGAAGTCATTACAATAAATGTTGAAGAAAAATTGAAAAATTGATAGCCAATACTCATAACATCAAAAATAGTTGTAGATACTAGTACTCATAAAAGATAGAGTATTCAGTTTCAAATGATGTGGGATAGATAAGATCCAGTCTCGAAGTCCATAGGCAATTCAAAGGGTCAACATCCGTTCGCAAAGCCATCATGCATCATAATCCATAAAACACAAACATTGAAGGAAAATGAGAAAAAACTAGGTAATTAAAATATATGGACTAACGTTGCCTACCTATACAAGTCATGAAAAATAGAAATCCAATCCCATTAACTGCCATTCCAATCTGAGGTCCAATGTAAACCATTACGAAGCTTCGGTATTTTCATCTCTAGAACTAATGAATGAGGTAGCTACATGATGGTAAGACTTAATGTTAAAAATAATATACGCTGGATAGACCATACGCAATACACCTGCTGGCAAATGGTAGAATCGCTTTACCTGTGTAAATATGCGCATCGTTTAAAGGCGCATTACAGTGAACATGCATATAACAGTCAACTCAGACCATGGGCTCTATCAGATGGGTATGCAACGAGCCATTGGCGCCGTGTTAAATGGTGGCCTCGGCTTGGCGAAGGGCCGGAAGTTGACGCAACGCGAGAAAAAATACGGTCCGAAGTTGAAGCATCATAGATTTTACTCATATTTCCGCAATGAAACCACACTAACCTTCACAAATATTGGTAAGACATTTGACACTGACTTCATTTTTAGTGTTGAACTTGTTTAATAGGCATCAAATTGCCTAAATTGGTCACGATATTGATTTAATATTGTGAAAATCCAAAATCGCCATTTTGTTTTTTTGCTCGTCAATTTTCTTCATTTTAACACTGAATTTCAGCACTTTAAACCTATTCATGACACCTTTGAGTACACATTTATTCACTTAGATTAGGATTAATATGTTGGGTCATCGTTGTTATTGAAAAAACGTGTCAAAAGTACACCACTTCTTGCATCCAATTTTCATTCCAAAGTGGCTATTTACCAAATTTTGTTCAATTTATTTATGTCTCTTACTTTTATATTAAACCTCCGTTGCATATATTATGTATGTCAATACAAAGCTATTGTTGTATTTTAACTGATTTTTTAGTTTTTATTTAGGAGAAATTACTATAATTTCTGAAGTGACTTACTAAAAATGACACAAAATGTCATTCCGGTCTGCGTGAATACTGCCACGAGGACTAAATTTCCTCATTTTGTCAAGTTGTTCAGTTTTGATATGAAACATGACTGGTATAAAGTTTATACATCATTATAAAGCCCAATTTCTCTCCTATCTGATGATGTGACTGTTACTTTGGGAAAAGTAGTATATTTTCTGTAATGGCTTGTTAAAAATGACACAAAATCCCATTTCGGTCCATGTGAAACCTGGAATGACGAATGAATTTTCTGACTTTTGTCAAGTTGTTCAGTTTAAATGGGAAACATGACTGGTATAAAGTTTATACACCATTTTAAAGCCCTAATTGTGCCCTATCTGATGATGTGACTGTTACTTGGGGAAAAGAAGTATATTTTCTGTAATGGCTTGTTAAAAATGACACAAAATGCCATTTCCATATCCGTGCGAACTGTCACAATGACTACATTTTCTCATTTTATCAAATTGTTCAGTTTTGATACGAAACATGACTGGTACAAAGTTTATACATCATTTTAAAGCCCTAATTGTGCCCTATCTGATGATGTGACTATTACTTGGGGAAAAGAAGTATATTTTCTGTAATGGCTTGTTAAAAATGACACAAAATCCCATTTCCATATCCGTTAAAACTGTTGCGACGATTAAATTTTATGACTTTTTCAATTTGTTCCATTTTAATAGGAAATATGAATGGTATAAAGTTTATACACCATTTTAAAGCCCTAATTGTGCCCTATCTGATGATGTGACTGTTACTTGGGGAAAAGAAGTATATTTTCTGTAATGGCTTGTTAAAAATGACACAAAATCCCATTTCCATATCCGTTGAAACTGTCGCGACGATTAAATTTTATGACTTTTTCAATTTGTTCCATTTTAATAGGAAACATGACTGGTATAAAGTTTATACACCATTTTAAAGCCCTAATTGTGCCCTATCTGATGATGTGACTGTTACTTGGGGAAAAGAAGTATATTTTCTGTAATGGCTTGTTAAAAATGACACAAAATCCCATTTCCATATCCGTTAAAACTGTCGCGACGATTAAATTTTATGACTTTTTCAATTTGTTCCATTTTAATAGGAAACATGACTGGTATAAAGTTTATACACCATTTTAAAGCCCTTATTGTGCCCTATCTGATGATGTGACTGTTACTTTGGGAAAAGAAGTATATTTTCTGTAATGGCTTGTTAAAAATGACACAAAATCCCATTTCCATATCCCGTTAAAACTGTCGCGACGATTAAATTTTATGACTTTTTCAATTTGTTCCATTTTGATAGGAAACATGACTGGTATAAAGTTTATACACAATTTTAAAGCCCTAATTGTGCCCTATCTGATGATGTGACTGTTACTTGGGGAAAAGTATTATATATTCTATAATGGCTTGTTATAATCGACACAAAATGCCATTTCCATCTCCATGACAACTGTCGCGGCAACTAATTTTTCCGTCTTTGTTGATTTGTTCAGCTTTAATAGTCAACATGACTGGTAGCAAGTTAATACACCATTTTAAAGCCTTCATTGTCTCTTATCTGATGATCTTACTCTTATTTTAGAGAAATTAGTAAATTTTCTGAACTGGCTTGTTAAAAATGACACAAAATCCCATTTCCATACCTGTTAAAACTGTCGCGACAACTGAATTTTATGACTTTTTCAATTTGTTCCATTTTAATAGGACACATGACTGGTATAAAGTTTATACACCATTTTAAAGCCTTCATTGTCTCCTATCTGATGATCTTACTCTTATTTGAGAGAAATTGGTAAATTTTCTGAACTGGCTTGTTAAAAATGACACAAAATCCCATTTCCATACCTGTTAAAACTGTCGCGATGATTAAATTTTATGACTTTTTCAATTTGTTCCATTTTATTAGGAAACATGACTGGTAGCAAGTTTATACACCATTTTAAAGCCTTCTTTGTCTCCTATCTGATGATCTTACTCTTACTTGAGAGAAATTGGTAAATTTTCTGAACTGGCTTGTTAAAAATGACACAAAATCCCATTTCCATACCTGTTAAAACTGTCGCGACGACTAAATTTTATGTCTTTTTCAATTTGTTCCATTTTAATAGGAAACATGACTGGTATAAAGTTTATACACCATTTTAAAGCCCTTTTTGTGTCCTTTCTGATGATCTTACTCTTATTTGAGAGAAATGAGTATATTTTCTGAACTGGCTTGTTAAAAATGACACAAATCCCATTTCAGCCAACGTGAAACCTGTCTTGATGACTAATTTTTCTGACTTTTGTCAAATTGATCAGTTGTAATAGGAGACATGACTGGTATATAGTTTATAAACCATTTTAAAGCCTTCTTTGTCTCCTATCTGATGATCTTACTCTTATTTGGGAGAAATTAATTAATTTTTTTGTAGTGACTTGTAAAAATGACACAAAATGCTATTTCCATCTTCAAAACTTTTGAAAATTGTTCAGTCTGTCAGTTTGAATGCAATTTTAATTGATTTATTTTCAGATAAAATGGCAACTCCACACAGGGAGTACAGTACAACAAGAAAACTAGATGAGGCCACACTACTAAATTGTAAGAAACCACTGAAAAGGGGACGAAGGAAAACTAAATTTTGTCATAAGAAAAGGAAACATTCAAGGTACAAACCATATTATCCTACCATATCGATAAATCTATCTCTATTTACTTAAACATGATGACATATTATCAATTTAAAAATTAATCAATAAAATTTAAAAATTAATCAATGAAATGTCTTCATAATTATATTTCAGTTCAAGGTCACAAAAGCCAGTGATATATGAGAATGAGACCACACCAGTTGAAGAGACAACACTAGATGAGACCATAGTACCACTAAATCAGCCAAAACCAAAGAAGAAACCACTGAAAAGAGGACGAAGGAAAACTAAATTCTGTCATAAGAAAAAGAAATATTCAAGGTACAAACCGTGTTGCTCTACCATGTTGATCAATACTTTTTTCTCCATTGTGACTTTATCATTTTAAAAATGAATCAATGGAATTTCTTCATTTCTTATTTAGAATTAAGTTCAGTATAAGGGTCGGTTATATTGGTACATGTAACATAGAAAATTATGCATGGTTTATGTGTTTTTTTAATCAAATTGTATACATGTATGAAGCAGCACTGGATATTAATCAATGTGCCACTGTTATAAAAATGTTGGTAAATAAACAAATATAATTTTGTCCCTAACTTTGTTTTGTTTAAAATGTGTGTTTATTTTGTGGCACAGTTGCAACAATGATCATCATGATGAGTCCATCTCTCCACCTCGGACTTCAACACCAATACGTGCCAAAACAAAAAGACCGAGGCCCAGTCGTACTATTACCCTGGAACAGCCCTCTGATTACCTTCAGCTGCCAGCAATCTCAATTTCTCAATCATGTAGTGAGTCCTCTGACCTTGACAGTAGCTTTCTGAGCATAGAACCTGAGGGTGGCTTGTGTGCAGAATGGAATACATCGCAAATGACCAGGTATTTTATTCAATAATTTTATACAAAATAATCATTCAATGAAAATGTTTCTATTTTCTTACTCAACTTACCTCAAGATTTGGCCTGCATCCCTTAATTGCTCAAATTTCTCTAATGTGCCAGCATTTATTTCTCCATGCTCTTTCTAGGAAGTTGTCTCAAAATGCCTTATTGATAATCTTTTACAGGCAAATATTGAAATCATTATCTTAGTTTAAATATGTTTTTATTTTGTGGCACAGTTGCAACAATGATCATCATGATGGGTCCCCCTCTCCCCCTCAGACTTCAACACCAATACGTGCCAAAACAAAAAGACCGAGGCCCAGTCGTACTATTACCCGGGAACAGCCATCTGATTACCTTCAGCTGCCAGCGATCTCAATTTCTCAATCATGCAGTGAGTCCTCTGACCTTGACAGTAGCTTTCTGAGCATAGAACCTGTGGGTGGCTTGTGTGCAGACTGGAATACACCACTTATGATCAGGTATTAAATTCAATGATTTTATACAAAATAAATCATTCAATGTAAATGTTTCTATTTTCTTACTCAACTTACCTCAAGATTTGGCCTGCATCCCTTAATTGCTCAAATTTCTCTAATGTGCCAGCATTTATTTCTCAATGCTCTTTCTAGGAAGTTGTCTCAAAATGCCTGATTGATAATGTTTTACAGGCAAATATTGAAATCATTATCTTAGTTTAAATATGTTTTAATTTTGTGGCACAGTTGCAACAATGATCATCATGATGGGTCCCCCTCTCCCCCTCAGACTTCAACACCAATACGTGCCAAAACAAAAAGACCGAGGCCCAGTCGTACTATTACCCGGGAACAGCCATCTGATTACCTTCAGCTGCCAGCGATCTCAATTTCTCAATCATGTAGTGAGTCCTCTGACCTTGACAGTAGCTTTCTGAGCATAGAACCTGTGGGTGGCTTGTGTGCAGACTGGAATACACCACTTATGATCAGGTATTAAATTCAATGATTTTATACAAAATAAATCATTCAATGTAAATGTTTCTATTTTCTTACTCAACTTACCTCAAGATTTGGCCTGCATCCCTTAATTGCTCAAATTTCTCTAATGTGCCAGCATTTATTTCTCCATGCTCTTTCTAGGAAGTTGTCTCAAAATGCCTGATTGATAATGTTTTACAGGCAAATATTGAAATCATTATCTTAGTTTAAATATGTTTTTATTTTGTGGCACAGTTGCAACAATGATCATCATGATGGGTCCCCCTCTCCCCCTCAGACTTCAACACCAATACGTGCCAAAACAAAAAGACTGAGGCCCAGTCGTACTATTACCCAGGAACAGCCATCTAACGACCTTCAGCTGCCAGCATTCTCGATGTCTCAATCATGCAGTGAGTCCTCTGACCTTGACAGTAGCTTTCTGAGCATAGAACCTGTGGGTGGCTTGTGTGCAGAATGGAATACATCGCAAATGATCAGGTAATAAATTCAATAATTTAATCAAAGCAAATGATACAATGCTGTTTTCTACTTTTTTGGCTCAACTTACATGTACCATGAGACTTTGTCACCATCCCTTATTTGCTCAGATTTCTCTTCTTATGTGCCAGCATTTATTTCTCTGTGCTCTTTCTAGGAAGTTGTTTCAAAATGCCATACTGATACTCTTTCACAGGCAAATATTGGAATCAGTCTCATTTTATAGTATTTTTGGGGTCTTCATTGTACACAGGTTGCCGGGTGGATGAGCAGGCTAAATCTTGTCTACAGGTTTCTGGTGAAATCATTTGAGGGGTCTCATCTGAAGTTTTCAGGGATGTTTTTACCTATGAAAGTTTATAACTGATAAGTTTTTAGGCATTCTAAATGTTAAGGTGGCCATTTTGGATTATCCAAAATTCTTTTATGTTGATGTTTGTCTGCATCTGTCGAGGATGCTTTATTGTTCACCATGTGTCTCAATTTAGATTTTTTTAGAGTTATTATATAGTGTTTTTCAATTGTAGTAGTGATGGCAAGGCAGCGAGCATCACAAGTCAAAATCTTGATGAAACCAGCAATAGTAATCTCAGTGCAGATGAAGAAACCCTAGTAGGAACATCATCTACCCACTCAACTCCAGTCCTGGACAACAGATCCACACTTCTGGACGCATCTATTCCTCCTGTGTAAGCATATTTATTATAATGTTTGTATATATCAGATACCAGTGGGACGTTTCTTGTCATTAGGAAAATTAAATTAGGAAATTGATAAAATTTGACCATTCGGCAAATTAACCACTCGGATTAAATACCACTTATACAGTATGGTAGATCACTTGCAATATTTGTTAAGAACACCTGATACACCAGTGAGTGTATAGAACTGACATCTCTCCATGCAATCAATGACTCCATCTTTTGACTAAGCAATGAATATCTTCTGTTGGACCTTGTGTGCTATTAAGGATATTGTCTAAATATATCTACTATTGGATATTATAACACCTAGCACTATTATTGGATATTACAACACCTAGCATTAATAAAAATAACTTTCATTTTAGTGATAATGCCTGTGAGGACCTGACAGGACCCACGTTAGAATCGACATCACCCACAGTAGCATTGACAGCACCCACTTCACAACCATCAACTCCAGTATCACTTGAGCCAAGGTTTGCTATGTTATTACCCTTGTGGACATAAGCATTCTATGTAGTAAAGATTAAAAGGTGGATTGGATCAAGTGGATTGGATTCACGTAAAAGGTGGATTGTATCGGAAATCTTGAAAATATGGAATCCCTTTCTGTTGATCTTCCTCTCAGCAAAATTTCCATTCTCAAAGTATTTTGTGATCACTTGGGTCCCTTTGAGGAATTAAAACAAAACAACAACAAATACATACATTATTAGTTGATGCATCAATCTAACAGAGTGAGATCAATAGAAAAAAATTCTATATTTTGAAGATTACTGATCCAATCCACCTTTTACATGAACCCAATCCACTCAATCCAATCAACCTTTTAATCTTCACCTTTTATGTACCAAAATGGAGTTATGTACACCCTGACAGTATAAACAATTTTGATACTGAAAGATTGGAAAACTTGAAACTATATATATATATATAATTATATATATATTCCCTGAAGATTTTTAATGTAATGACATATATATAATACCAAAAAATACCATTTGACAATTTTGTAACTTCGGCACCGAAAAAATCTGACCTATGGTCAAGTGTATTTTTTAGCCAATGCCCCTGACTGGCTTATACATTATGCTTAATATGTTCACTCTTATTTCAGGCTATCATCTCAGTCAAACTCTGAGTCACCCCAATATGGACCGATGTTCCCACCACTTTACGTCGCATTGAAGCAATCCATCACACAGGAAACATTGCCCAGCAGCTTCATCACTATGAATCAGTCAGAGTTCATCAAACTTGTGCAATTGTATGATTGTGGAACTGTAAAACTGTCAGTTACTGTTGGTCTTAATTTCGAGACACTAATAAAAGTCCATAATCAATTTATTCCCAGTTCACACGATATATGGGACCGAGTGCCAAAGTGTATTAAGACACATTCTGATTTGGAGAAAATACTGAATGAGTTGGACTGTTGGAAAGTGTGTTTAGCGAACAATGAAGAGAAATATGTTAGTTTGACACCCAAGAACGCTGGGTTGAGCTGTAATGCATCTGGACCACTCTTGGCCTATCATGAAAGTGGTTTCAATATGGACACAATCCGCTCAATCAATTGTGGTTTGCTGATACGCCCAACACTTGGTTCAAGGTCTGTTCGCTGTGTCCCCTGCCAAAAGGCTAGATGCACCCTAAGGAAAAGAGAGTACAGAGAAAATAGGAAACCAAAAGAACCCTCAAAATATGTGGCCAATAAATATCTAAGTCATAGCCAGCTTGCTGTAAAGGCTTCAAAACTGAAAGCTGACAATATTCTGCTTTAAAATGAAATTGAGATATTACAGAGAAGGCTGAGAACCAAAATTGAGGTGGAAGGGGAATGCCTTGATCCCCTCCAGTCTGTGGAACTTCAAAGTGTTATGCGTGAATTTGGAAGTGATGTAGAGAAAAGCCACGGAGCTGAATCATTGCAAAACCTGTTTTGGCAACAGCAGCTAAAAGCATTAAAAAACAATCCAAAACAGATGCGATGGCATCCCATGATTCTCAAATGGTGTCTTTACCTGAAAAGTCGCTCATCGAGAGCCTATGACATCATGCGGGAAACGGGATTCATTCGTCTTCCATCAAATAGGACACTGTTTGATTATGGTAAATACGTGAAAGCTGGGATGGGACTAAACAAAGATAACCTTGAATATCTCAAGACGGAGTGCCAGCGGGCAGGCGTATATGATGAAACTCAACTTCACAATAACTTTGTTGGTATTCTTCAGGATGAAGTGAAAGTTAAGGATGATATAGTATACGACAAATATACTGGAGCACTTGTTGGCTATGTTGAGTTGGATGACATAGCCAATCAGTTGTTGAATTTGAACCCTGACCAAAATCGACAAACTGTGGCGAGATATTTATTAGTGGTGATGGTGCAGGGCATTTCCACTGACTTGCGGTATCCACTGTCTTGTTATGCCACCAATGGGATTACTGCAGCATTCCTCATGCCCATACTTTGGGAGTGCATAGAATATCTAGAAAATATTTGCAAAATTAAAGTGATGTTTATTACTTGTGATGGAGCCAGCCCCAATCGTCGGTTTTTCAGGCTACATCGCGAACCAGGAATGCCTGAATATGTGCATTACACTGAAAATCCATTTGTGCAGCCTGGAGGACAACCTCGTCGGATATATTTTATTTCCTGTGTACCTCATCTCCTCAAAACTACTCGAAATTGTTTCTCAAACTCCCATTCCCACAATCGTACACGCCTTCTCCTCAAAAATCACAAAGAAATAAGCTGGATGCATATTGTGAGACTTTTTGAAGAATACTGTGAGAACCAACAATATGGCCTCTGTCGTAAGTTAACTCGTGACCACATAGACCTAACACCGTATGGTAGGATGAAAGTGAATTTGGCAGCTCAGGTGCTCAGTAATTCTGTTGCAGCGGCTTTGGAAATGCAATACGGAGATGAAGTGTCTGAAACAGTGACCTTCATAAGAATGATGAACAAGTTTTTCGATTGCTGCAACACTAGATCTGCATTAGAGGCAGCAAGAACGAGAAATGAGAATCTTGCAGTATATACTGACAGAAATGACCCTCGTTTAGAGTGGCTAGAAAATGATTTTCTTGGATATTTCCAAGAGTGGAAAGATGAGGTTGAGAGAGAATTGGCCGGCCATCCTGCTAATGAGCGAGCAGAGAAACAAATCAGCTACCAAACCCTTGAAGGGTTGTACATTTCTGTAAAATCAATTGTTGCATTGGTCAGGTTTTGCTTAGGCAGTGGCATGCCATCTGTAAAAACTGTTCTTTTTAACCAGGACAATTTAGAGCGTCACTTTTCCCACTATCGTCACAAAGGAGGAGCAAATGATAATCCTACAGTGTTTGAGGCTGCTCATATTATGACCAGGCTAAGGGTCACAGAAGGCCAGGCCCTAGCTCCAGTACGCCGAGGCAATGTCCAAAGGAACATCCTCAATCAAATTATAGACAATACTCCATTACAAAGACGCAGAGTAAATAATAATTAAATATTTCCCAAAAATAAGATAACTGTAAAATCACCTGCTTTGTGTAAAGAACTTGTTTAAGGTGCCATGGAAGTAAACAGGAAATGACAAAACAAAAAGTGACAAAACCATGCTGGATTTTGAAAATTTTTTGAACCAAGATAACAGCGTTCTGTTTGGACTTCCAGTCAGTGTAACTAGTTCCACATATCATTTACATGACCGGTAACACAACGGAAATGGTCAGAATGACCATAAACATGATGAAATAACCTTTTCAGTCCTCTGAAAATGTGACTGAAAAATAGCTAAGAGTAGGTGCTCAGGAAAGGTCACTGAACAGAATCTTTTGACTTTTTAAGAAAATGTGCCCAATATATTGCTCTAAATGATACAATTTAAAAAAATTAATATCATTTTTAGAAAAAGAGAAAACTGAAGAAAATAGATCTATTTTCCTTTTCACTACAGCCATTATTGTTTCAGACAATTTTTTAAAATTTCATAGATTGTATCATTTAGAACTATATATTGGACACATTTTCTGAAAAAATCAAAAGATTCTGTTCATTGACCTTTCCTGAGCACCTACTTTTAGCTATTTATCAGTCACATTTTCAGAGGGCTGAAAAGGTTATTTCATCATGTTTATGGTCATTCTGACCATTTCCATTGTGTTTGTGGAACTAGTTACACTGACTGGAGGTCAAAACAGAACTCTGTTATAAAAAACTTTCAAAATCCAGCATGGTTTTGTCATTTTTTGTTTAGTCATTTCCTGTTAACTTCCATGGCACCTTAAAAGAGGTTGGGTTAGTTCCCAAGATTTTGTACTTCCATTTAAATACTTTTATTTCTACTATCACTGGTACTCAACTAGTTATGCTGACGATACTTCAGCGTAACAAGATGGAAGAACTTCCGGGCTTCGTTTTCCGGTAAGATTTTTTTTCTCGATTCTACATCACTTATAAATCAAGTTGTGGACAATAATTTGGCTCAAAGTTAAGGAAGTTTAGTTTGAGAATATGCAGGCGGTTCAATGTTTGGTATTTTAACAAAGACGCAATTAATATATTTAGTCCCTCGCTTTTATTACGTTGACGATCTTCATCAATATTGCCATTGTGACAATACTCATGAAGATCATTGATCATCGTCGATCATGAAGATCGTCAACGTAACAAAATCGAGGGACTAAATATGTGAATTGCGTCTTTGTTAATATACCAAACATAGAACTGCCTTCATATTCTCAAACTAGACTATCTTCCTTAACTTTGAGCCAAATTATTGTCCACAACTTGACTTATAAGTGGTGTAGAATCGAAAAAATAAAAATATCTTACTGAAAACAAAGTTCTTCCATCTTGTTATGCTGACGTATCGTCAGCGTAACTAGGTCAGTACCAGTGACTATAGCATGATACAGGATTCTTTTTTGTAATTCAAATATAACCCTGGTCAATAAAGTAGAACAGATCACCATTTACATCATGATGTCAAAGTGATGAACTTATTGTCATATTGACCTAGTTTATTCAGTGTAATTTATGGACTAGTTTATGTTTTAGAAATACTGTATAGGGGTGTTGAATTTTCCTATGAAAACTACTAAGAAGGTATAATGATCAAAATATTGTAAGTAAGTAAAATAATTTTTTTGATGCAGATGTTTGTTGAAAAATTTAATTGGAAAATCATATGAATTACTGAAATTAAAACAATGTATGACATGCTCTCATTAGAATATTTGAATTAAGGATTTAGGACTTAAGGAGGATTGGCTCCCAGAGTGCAACATCGATATTCTGTCCCATATATGGAGATGTCATGATTCAAAATTCAAATTCAAACTGCCACCATATTAAACATAAACATTTTGTTTACTTCATCATTTAAATTGTCATTTTGGTCTTATTTTCAAACGAAGAATTCCAAAACTAACAAGAATTGAATTGAATTTATAGTCCGTTTTAATTTCAGAAAATAACAGCATTTCGACATTTTCATTGTTGGAAAATATTGATGGTCTCTGCTGGTATCCAATCCACCTTGTTTAAGACCTTTAGTTTAGTTCTCACCATGACCATTAGTGAAAATACTGTGTTCTGATTGGCTGGAATCAGGCACACCTTGCTTAGCTATGTGTGAATACTGTATTACTCGTCACACATGGGCTATGAAATGATTAATCATAAACATTGTGCATTGAAAGAACTTTATTACAGATATCAAATTAAAACTGTAGGGAAAATAAAATAAAGTTATGAATTTAATTAAAATGTGTGTCAAAAGCCAATCATTCATATTCACAAGGTAGAAAGAATCTTGAAAGATGGAAACTTACATGTGTTTCTATTCATCATATTTTGTCAATCAATTGCTATGTGTCTGATTATACAAATAAAAATATAGGCCTAGATAAAAGAAAATAGGCTTTCTGTCCAACATAAAAACAATGTTTTACTTTTGTTGGTATTTTATAATATGGGGCCTTATGTCAGTTTGTGTCAGTACCTGACCTGATCTGGGTTAAAAGAGCTTATAGTCACTCAAAGTTACTGAGCATCCAGTTTTGAAACTTCACTTGCGTGTGTGAAGTTGTATATATTTCAGTCAAATTCATGCTGATCACATTTTGGTTTCAATTTTATATTATCAATTAAAAAAATCCAAACCAGAAAATTGTGCTCATTGTAAAATTCAAAAGTGAAGCATCTTTTTCTTGTATGTCTAAAAATGGCAGCCATCTTGATTTTCCCCCTTCAAAACAGGCAGAAAATTTTAAAATTTGAAATCCTAAAATAGCCTATTTCGAAAATATGATTTTTTATGTCAAGATTATGTCTGTGTCTACTTGCATCTGGTCTACTGCATTATCATAATTTACCATGCACTCAATATACTGTAAATTGCTTTAATTTGGCATACTTTTTTAGAGGTTGACTCAATTATCCAGGCTTATGAATGATCCCAGTATCAATCCCCATAGAGAATTCATATACATTTTGACAAGTTTCTCAATCCATTAATTTTGTTAAAATACATCAGTATGGTTCAATGATCAAAGATGTAGCTGCTTGTCAAAATTTATATGTATTCTCTATGAGCCAACTTCTCAGATGATTCATCATTTTACATCTTTGTTCACTCTCTCCTGTCGAACTCAGTGAAGAGCGAAGCGTGCAAAGATGCCATTTTAAATCTCAAAATGTATTTCATGGGATTTGAATGAAATTCACCAAATTCTATAAATATTACTTTGCAATAACATCAAATTAAAGAATTTTACAATCCAGGCATCATGCAATCTAGAGAATCACAAAACTGTACTCCCACTAATATTTGACGCTATTATATTTAGCTGTTTTTGGCATTTTGAAATTTTGCGGCTATTATATTTCACTAATTTTCAGTGTTTTGACATTTTGTGGCTAATAATTTTTACAATTTTGTCATAAAAGATCACTCTTTCGATATCAGCCATGGTTATTCCTTCGCCCGATGATTTTAGCCTCATATTATATTCGTTTTAATACAGTAATAGATTTCTTTCGTCTAATTTCTCTTTTTCAAAACTCAAAATGTTACCTGATTATGTTTTACCTATTATTGCCAAGCACTGGATGAAAATATTGTCAACATTAAAATCCCCCATGGAATTTCGAACCTATCAAATTTCGCAAATGAAATTACTGGGAGTACAGTATCCCATACATATTTCCACAGGCTCAAATAAAAGCAATTAAAAAAGTACAGGCATGTTAATTTTATTGAATTTATTTGGGCACATTTAACTGTATTACAGTGCATACATAGCCAAACTACATGTACAAGATTTATAAAACTCCAGTATGCTACGTATAGCATCAATCTTCTATAACAGGGTATACTGTTAGCACATTTTTTTACTTCCATCTATATATGATTTATATAAAGCAGTTATTAACCAGGCGGGCTTTATACCTTATACCATGGTCAAAAGCAATATTTACCTCAAAATCAATGAATGAATCTTGGGAATAATATTGTTACTGTGTTTCATGTTTATATCTGTTAACACATGCAAAATGATAACTATTAATAACACTTAATAAACACACTAGGCATGCTAGGCCTTAAAATGTTTGCTAGGCCTTAAAATGTTTGCGAGCCACTGTTCTGAAATGAAGTCTCAGGAGGATTTTCTGTACAACCATTGGGCTAGTCAATGATGTTATTTCGGAGGTGCTGATCCTCTCTTCTCTTTAAGACCTTTTCTGAAACCGCAGCGTCTGCCTGTCTTAGATGTGGATTTTTTTGACTTTTTATGTCTATGTTTCAGGAGTCTTGCAGTATCGTATCCTCTGACACGTAGAAATTTGGTAATAATGAGTTCAAACACCTTGGATGCTGTAATATCATCTATTCCTGATGTGATACACTCCCACTGGCACTGTATCGCATGACATGACATGATTGCTTCAGTCAATGGTGCTATGGCCATGCAGTTGGCGGATGGATTGTCTATATTGACATGGGTAGAGATCTCCTTCTCAAAGAGTAATACAAGTTCAAAGAACTTTGTTGACGGATACATAAGACCTCCACGATCAAGGGAAGATGTCCATTTTGACTCGGGGACAGTGTCATTCTTAGTTGTTGAACAGAGTTTCACAAAATTTTCTCTGATTTCCTTATCCATTTTCATTCTTTTCATTGTGCGAAGCAAATATCCTGCAATATAATGCATAACTTTCTTCTGAGACTCACTCAAACTTGAAATGTGCCTCTCAACATCCTTTGCAGAGAGTGAAGCAATGGCATTCAACGATACTTTCAGTAACAGTCTGAGAATAGTCTGAACGAGGTGGGGTTGAAGGTTACAATGACTCGAAATAGCATTGACGAATGATGTCTTCAAGCGAAGTTGATGAAAGTTTGCAAACAGCGATTCACGCCCCTGTTCCAAAGAGCAGTCACTATTGTACGATAGTAATACATTGTACATTTCAAGCTCTGTTTTCTCCTTTAAATCTGCTACATTTAACTTGTCGAACTGAATGGCTGCTTCTGGTAACAAGTCTCTATATATATTGTCTTTCTGTGCCTCTTTCACAGCGATGTTCACAATTTGTTCATATTCCGCATCAAAAATGTCCTTATCAGAGAGGGGGTGTCTATTTGGCTGACTATGTGACGCCAAATGATTTATCCTGTAGTCTCTGGGCCGCACAGATTCGATACCATGGCTTCTCATATGGCCTCGTAGTCCACTTATTGACTTTAGCTCCTTAGTGCACTGACTACACTTGTAGATATTATTATTTTGTTTCTTTTGACCCTTTTGAGATTCGGGTTGGTGTTTAGGAGTCTCTGGACTTGAATCAGATGAAGACTCTGATGATGATCCTGAGGCTGTGTACAAGTCACCCAAAATTTCTTTGAGGGGATCATCACTCATTTCATCCCAATATAGATAGTCATCATTTTTTGTGTTTTTTTTTCGCTTTGACATTCTTTGAAAGCTAGAATTCCCAATATATGTTGCTAAAATTAGAAGAATTAATTTTTTCTTGGATTTGCGATTTTTTGTGATCTGCGCATGCGCAAGATAGATGGCGCAATAGTACTTATCTCCATTTTGAAGATTTTTGAAGAGCTCCTACAGCCATTCCGCGGCACCCATTCTATCCGTTTCACACCCAGGTGGTAGAGCCCATGCTCAGACCAAGGTGAACTCGAATCGAAGTCAACTCGGGGCTAAAGTCAACTCGCACCAATGTCGAATCTGACTCATATTAGGTTGGATCAAAGTCCAAACAAACCAAATGATTAATCGCCATGCCCGGATGCATGTTGCCATGCCCGGATGCCATGGAATGTTCACCCGCTGTTCGTGTTGAATGTTGTCCTGTATCATTTGATTTCAGTGTAATTCTAAAACTATAATTAAGAATTCGCAAGTCCCATGATTTCAAAAATAGAGTTTCATATGCACCAATCAAAAACACGAGGGGAAACACGAGAGCCAAGTATTCTACACGTGTTTTTAACATGTTTCTAAACTTACTATCAGATACATGTGCTTGTATAAAGAATTTTGTCACCTTATCAAAATGTTACATTCTGTCTTCAAAATTCTGTGAACAAACATTAAAGGCCCCATATGAAGTTTTAACATATAGAATTTTATCATTCAAATATTACTTTTTATGACTTTAAAAGCATTTGCGTCATTTCTAAAAAAAAACTTGTAGTTCAACTTATAATTTTCAAATATTTGAATTTCCCGTCATTTTGGACACAAACATTTAGATTTTAGTTCACAAAATACAACGTGACGAAACGCTTTGATATCACTAAGGTGACACAGTGTTTTCTAAACAAGTTAAACTGTCAAAATAAAGCAATACTATTTGCTACCTACATATGGGTTGAAAATAAGTCGTTCTCGTGTTTTTAATACATGCATGTATATTAGGAATAAAAATCTCAAAATGCAATATTTTCTGAACAACTTTAATTTCTGAGCTTATAAGTCATTTTCTTTCTCATTTTCAACACATTTTCCTAACTTTTTGAACAGTAAAGGTTTGGATACCTGCCCTATGCATTTTGTGTAATTTATTACTTAACAATGTAAAGTGTACGTGTACATGTATGACAACTAAACTTTTATATGATATCCACAATTCTATAACAAAAATCATTCAAAATCAACCTTTTGAAATTTAAATGAAATGTTTCACATGCAACATTTTGATAGCAGTACTATAGTTGTACGCCAAGATGGTTAAAACTTTATACGGGCCTTTAATCAAAATAGAAGCCATTAGACGATTAGTTATGTTTGTTTAAAGGCTTAGGAGTTTTGATTTCATAAGGCCAATTAAATTGCAACTTACATAAACAAGAGAATCTTACGAATTAATAATCAATATGAATATTTGGGTAATTTTGGTGTTTGAATTGCCAATGCTCGAAGCACACTGCTCAGTGGAAGGATTCTACTACTAAAAGCACACTGCTCAGTGGAAGGATTCTACTACTAAAAGCACACTGCTCAGTGGAAGGATTCTACTACTAAAAGGACACTGCTCAGTGGAAGGATTCTAGAGACTACAACACAACTAAAAGCACACTGCTAAGTGGAAAGATTCTAGATAACACAACACAACTAATATGTAAGTATCCAATCGGATTATGAACATTACAATTTTGACTTTTTATTTTAATGTTATTTATTTTAAAAGGTCGGTATCCTCCTTGGTACACGTAGCTATTTGTAATGGGCAGGAAGGAAACGAAAGCGTGACCGAGAGGGGGGGGGTTAACCCTAGAAGCCCTTAGGTAAAAATAGTCACACGAACACCTAAAGAGGGGGGGGGGGGGGTCAAAAGGACACCCCTTGTAAGATTTTTGTTAGTAGAGCTATGATGTTCAAACTTTTCCACATATACTTCATTCAATTATCTACAACTTGGTGTAAAAACTTAACTACGATGATGTAAAATTGCGTAATTTTATTCTTAAGACAACACGTATGGTAGAATAAGTGCTAGCTTTTTTATGATTTTGTCTATTGGAGCTGATGATTACATCATAATAAATTAATAACAAATTAGTAAAGCTAGGATGTTCCAACTTTCCCCAAATATACTTCAATCATCTACACTTTGGTATAATTACTTTATCAACTATGATGATGGAAGTTGTGTAAATTACTAATCTTATTCTAGAGATAACACGTATGATAGAAATAGACTCAGCTTTTACCGATTTTGTCTATTGCAGCTGATGATTACATCATAATAAATCAATTACCCTATGTTCAATTTTGCTGATTTTTTCAGAAAACATTGGTTATATCTGTAGCTTCAGCTACTGAAAATTTGAAGACCCTACCAGATGCCAATAAAAGGTTGTGGGGAAAAACTTAACAAGGGGGTCAATGACCCCCCCTCTTAGTGCTTCTAGGGTTAAAGCTTTCATACCATGGAATGTTTGGACGTTTCCCATTTCATTTTTATAGATTTTTGACATGTGGATATGAATCAAATTATCGGTAATCTAAAAATCTGTGATGTAATCCTATTGCAAAATAAACTTGCCCCCAACCTCACCGCCTTCACTCTGTCGTACATGTACTTAAGGTACCCAGTGGATACTACACATGTACTCAGTTTGTCTTGCAGGCCCGTAGCCAAGATTTGCCAAGGGGGGGTTCAATTTTCAAAAATTTTCAGGGGGGGTTCACATTTGACAATTTTGGCTCAAATTAGGCTAAAATCACTTGAGAAGTGCTCAAAATGGTCAAAAACTGCATGATTTTGAAAGAATTTTTGGCCAGGGGGGGGGGTTCACCCGAACCCTGCGAACCCCCCTGGCTACGGGCCTGTCTTGTCTACGAGTCAGCTTATCTACGCGACTTCTCTTGAAACTGTACTTAAGGATATACAATTTCTAAAACGTGACCTTGTATATAAAAAATAGGACAATTATTATCAAATTACCAGCCAGCTATTTGTTTAGGAAGTTAAAGTTAGATGAAGTAAACATGTCGCTGTGAAACACAGTTGTTAATCCTAACGTTAATTATTTTGCCCTTGTAAATACATCCATGCTGCATAGTTTACTGGGAGCTAGATCACATTGGAACATATCTTTGAATGAAGTTCAGATTTACAATAATATGCATATACTGTAATAGTCCACTAGGAGCTAGATCACATTGGAACGTATCTTTGAATGAAGTTCAGATTTACAATAATCTGCAATGCATATTCTGTAATAGTCCACTAGGAGCTAGATCACATTGGAACATATCTTTGAATGAAGTTCAGATTTACAATAATCTGCATATAATAGTTCAGTTGGAGCTAGATCACATTTGAACGTATCTTTGAATGGAGTTCAGATTTACAATAATCTGCATATAATAGTCCACTAGGAGCTAGATCACATTGGAACGTATCTTTGAATGAAGTTCAGATTTACAATAATCTGCATATAATAGTTCAGTTGGAGCTAGATGACATTGGAACATATCTTTGATAAAGTTAGGATTTACAACAATAGATGTCCATAAACCAACCAGTAACCGGGACCAGTAAGTAGCATCTACTCGGGTGTTACCTTGGGGGTTCGAACCCCCCCCCCCCTTCCCTGCACTGGTGATCTACTCGATTACGCTGGTTACCGAAACGGTTCGTTTAAAATGTCGGAACGTCGAAGGTACGATTTTTCACTTCCTTATTTCACACGTTGTAGGCAGAATTCCCACAGAATCGTCGATTTAACAGTTAAGATATGCACTTTTAACCCATACCGTCTCTGTAACTGAAGTGAGGAATTAAATCAACGATTCTGTTGTCTTCTGAGCTATTTTTTGCAAACATGTACATTTTCCTAAAACATATGAGAGGGGATTTCATCTGGAATACTGTGAACTCCATTTGAAAACACCTGGCCGCCGTGTCATAAATTTATTGAATATTTTTAAAATCGCCAGATAAATAAATCATTAATCAAAACGGACCCCGCTCGGCTCCTTGATGAGATATGACATGATTTCATCAGGAGAAAAATGGCGATGTTCGAAAACTGGACGAAAAGTCGTTGAAGTGTGACATTAGTAACTGGCTGTAAATTCTAAGTTAGCGATCCAGAAGATGTGAACCAATACACTGCTCACTTTATGTGTGTTTTGGAATTTTTGGTGAGGTAATAAGACCAAAACTCGCAATTCAAATTGTGATATGGAAAAATGGCGGACATATGATTTCAAATTTTATGATTACGACATGACCAGTTGTTCATGCAGGAATATATTTTTACTGGAAGGCCACGATACAGTAACTTATACACGTTTGTGTGAAAAAATGTCGTTTCGGTAACCAGCGCAATCGAGTGGATCACCATGCAGTGCCCTGGTCAACAATTATTTTAAAATGATGCAATTTTTCACCATTCTGAGCACCTTTTAAGTGATTTTGGCTAAATTAGTGCAATGTGAACCCCAAGAAGTGAACTCCTCCCTTGGCAAAAGCTGGCTACGGGCCTGGGCTCTAGTCTATTTCTCCGATCTCCGTTAAGTTACGATTCCGTAAGTCTATAGTTCTTTCTCAAACCTTACGGAAGATTTGCATTTTAGATCTACACAAAACAATCATCGGTAAGTAACATTTACTAGGGTATTAACTCGGGGGGTGTAATTTAACCTCTTGAATACCAGGCTCTAAAAATGTTTTGAAACCAGTTATTTACATGTACATCATCTAGTTCGCGATATTTGATGTTTGATTTCATAATAATAAAAGACACAGAGCCATTACAAACATTTTAAAACATAATTTGTGTAGATTGGATTAAACTTGTCATAACGTTTACTAGAGACAGACAGTGACCGATGTATCTGTTGTTCTGGGTTCCAATGGAATTTTATTTGTGACAAAAAACCGTCATTGCTTGTAAAGTTGAAGTAAAGGATTCCCAAGTCAAAGCAATAGTCAAAGTCTAAAATTGACAAAAATGTATGCATAGTCGCTTACCAGTTTGATTTTCTTGCAAAATTCACATTTTGGTAATCCAAAATGAAATGTATGGTCAGAACTAGAATGACCGGCTTATCTTAAAGTGGTTCTAAAGTAGCTTTAGTCGATTTAAATAGGTTATATTGCATGTTACATTACTTTTGTCTAGACCACTATGGTGAAACATTAAAACTCTAACTATTTCATTTTATCATGTTATCGAGAATACAAAGTCTACACGTACACTGTCGAAATCCGTGGATTTAGTCCTGCATATGTTATGTATCATAAGTTCACGTGTACATTATATTAGGGAATAAGGACACTGCAAAAATATAACAGCAAATCGAGGTAAGTGATTTCAGAGTTTTTACTAAACATCATGTCTTGAAATTTTGCACAAATATTCAATATATATAGTAGGACAATGTAGAAAACTTTCACGAGCTACTACATTCATGTTATAGGGAAGATATTTGAACAGCATTTCGTAACTAAATAATATATGTAACAATCCGATTCTAATATGTAACAATTTAATTGAGAACGGTAATAGTTGAATCCAATCATAACGTCCACCAATCCACATGATACATCAGAATCAAATCACTTTTTCAAAACGGAAATGTCATACCATAACCCCCCCAAATATTAGAAAAGGCGTTGGATTTGTAGCTTACTTCACAAAAACGTTTTGGAAACATGAAATAATTATATAACTTGAATTTTTTATTATCCATTATAGGTTGAATCTATGGCAGATTATGCATACCTTCTTACTACTGTCACTGGTAACCCGATCGATTACGATGGTTAACAAAATGTCATAACGTCGAAGGTATAATTTTTTCTTTTTTCCTTATTTCACGCGTTGTAGGCAGAGTCCCCACGAGGTTTTTTCTGACAAACGTGTATAAGTAGCATATGTTATAGAAAATGTACATGTTTGCGAAAAATAGCTCAGAAGACAACAGAATCGTCGATTTAATTCCTCACTTAAGTTATACATAAACGGTTTGGGTTAAAAGTGCAGATCTTAACTGTTTTTTGAAAGACCGTTTATGTAACTTAAGTGAGGAATTAAATCGACGATTCTGTTGTCTTCTAACTATTCGTTCGCAAATATGTACATTTTCTTAAACATATGATACTGATACACGTTTGTAATAAAAATGTCGTGGGAATTCTGCCTACAACGTGTAAAATAAGGAAAACAAGAAAAATCATACCTTCGAACCGTTTCGGTAACCAGCGTAATCGAGTGGATCACCATTGACTGTAATCGATGATAAAACTGGATAAGTTAACTCATTCAAGTTATGTATTCGCCGTAACAATATCACCGAGTGTGTCTTTATATCGTTAAATTATCGTATGATCTGTAAAATAAAGCGCTCTGAATAGTCAATCCTTTTGCTGTGTCAATCTGTATTGCTACTGAGATTGCTCCTTAATCAGATATATTCTGCTCTCGATAATCTGTATGTGCACTCGACTTCGTCTCGTTCCAATACAGAATTTCTCGAGCAGAATATATCCTGTATTGCACTTCAAATCATTCAATAACTCATACAAGGATGAGTCGATACTGTATATTATTTAAACAAAGGTGGAGGTTCTTCCATCGAACAGAGGCGTAAACTTATGATACATGACATGTACAGGGCTGAATACACATATTTCGACTAGTCAAAGTCACGTACCTGTTTTTTTGCGGCAAAACTGATTTCAACTCCACAATAAGTTTTTCACGTCACGTGACATGATCGTAAAACAATGCATCAAGAGTTTACCAATACCATTAAATGCGATTTTGTCAATAAAATAGAATATCATCCTAAAAAGTCGTTTATTCTAGCCCTACTATCACAACTAGTTCTCACTAAGTTCTCGAAAACGGGCTTCAACTGTGTACGAACGGACTGGACGTAATTAGAACCGTTTGGTGTCTATTTACAAACTTCATCGAACGTACTCGAACGGGTAGGTCCTCTTGAACCTAGCACATGCTTAAAATGTTCTCGGGGTCGTCACGTTCTACAATTAGAACGAGTGACAACGTGCTAACGACTAGATGGACGTACCACGAAAAGAACGTACTTCAATCCTACTAGGGACGTTTTTACAACGAGTTGAACTGTCTGAGAACGTATTGAGAACGATGTAGAATTGCAAATGGGTTTAAACTGATTAAGAACGCTTATGAACGAGTTGGCAAACATATAGCTATCACACCAAACAAGTTGCCACTGCGTTTTTTGAAACTGGTTTTAAACTCTGTGCGAATGGAGTGAACGTAGCTGCAACTTTCTAAGGTCTATTTAAGAACTTTATGAACGTTCCCAGACGTGAAGGTGATTTTAGAATTTTGAAATGATTCAAAATTCGATGGCGACCATACCGTTATGTTATCAGTAATTGCCGTCCTAGGGACCCGTTATACAACGTTGTGCAATCGGATATCAATTACAATACGTGTGCACACCGACATGGTACAATCTGAACGAACTGCGAATGAGAAGTAGCTAATTATTTTAGACATATTTCCCGACCATAGCAAGATTTAGCCCGTGTTACGACTTTTTCGTAGTAGTACTGGAAAGAACGGTTGAGAACTAGTTTGGTGTGATTGGGGTGTACGATTGAGAGGCTAATTTTATAATTATCAATTTCAAAGCTAAGTATGTAACAGTTCAATGGGTGAACAAGTGCAATCCATGTTCATTAATATAAGAAATTTAAAAATGAAGAAATTCGTATCAGAATACAAAATGTGGATTTTCCTGAAGTATAGAAGCCAATCGAATTTTCGAATTTGAGTTGATAAAATTTTGAAAAGTTGAAAATTTGATCCAGGACTGAAAATTAACATGAAGAGAGAAAGTAATGGAAAACTCTTAAAACTGACATTTCATTTGTATCTCTTTTGTTGATAAGACAATTCATTCGCTCAAGGAATTTCACCCGACCAGAACCCCAATCCCGCTCAGGTCATATGTTTTGTCTAAGACACAATTTTTACTTTTAAGATAATGGATTTGAATAAGCCCATAGCCAGCTTTTGTCAATGGTGACAAGGGAGATCACCTTTCAACAGTTTCCAGTGTGGGGGTCACATTTTTACCCTCTTTACCCAAATCATTTTAAAAGTGCTCACAATGGTGTAAACTGCATGACTTTGAAATAATTATGGCCAGGGGGTTCGCTTGCACCCCGTGGACCTGTTAAGTATATGAACTATGAAAATCTAATACAAATGAGAACATCAAATGTAACAAAATATGAAAAGGACGACCTTAAAGAGCCAGTTTGTATATTTTAACCGTAGTCTTAAAGATGTATGCTTTTTAGATAAGAAAAGGCCCATTTTAATAGGCTATTTTGGAAAACGGCTCTGGATCTTGTTCAGTTCATATCAGTTCAAAGTAATTCTTTCTAGATAATGAAATGAGGCAGTATGTCAAAGGCCTAAGTATTTTGAATGATTAAAATCTATTTATTTTACCATATTCATTACATACATGTTCAATCGTATCGTATCAATATAACTGAGTCGAGATGAAATAAGTTTTCGTTCTAATCATTCTAAGTTAAATTATTGAAAAGATGCGCTATGTAAGAGAAACGGGTAAATATTGCACTTTTGTATTCATTTCACTATCATGAATAGTTTATATAATTTATTACATTTCCAGAGAAAAATTACAAAAATGGTGCTCGTTTCGGATACGTTTCTTCTTCTGGCAGCCATCTTGTCTTGCACTAATGCCAAGCCAGCATGTCCACCAGATGTCGCGCAATGCGAGTTTTGGTTGGAAGTGAAAGAGGCGCTTACAATGATGAAGCACAAAACGTTAGTATGGCCGTATAAAGGAGAATTTTACCCCTATGATGCCACCGACCCCGAGAACAGCGAACCAATTTCCCCTGAGGGTGTTATTCAGGGAGATGGTTATTGGCAAAGAAATAGAATAGTGATGGTTGTGAACGGGACACTACCGGGACCAGCCATCGAGATCTACGAGAATCAGGATATTATCGTGCATGTCACGAACAAACTTAAGAGCCATGGACTGACCATACATTGGCACGGACTGCACCAGAAAGGGACCCCCTTCATGGACGGCGTTGCCTACATCACACAATGTCCGATAGGTCCCGGGCATAAATTCACGTATAGATTCAATGTTGGCAGCAAAGGGACATTTTGGTACCATTCTCATATTGGTGCGCAACGTACAAATGGTATATACGGGCCAATGATCATCCACGAGCGTCCAAAGGAAAATCAAACTCCAATTGAAGAATTCACGATGACAATCTCTGACTGGAACCATGACTTTGACTCAGATACTGGCCATCTTAAGATGGTCTATGGTTTATACAATGGCAAATCAAAATTTAAAGGCACGAAATCTCTCGATGGTGCTTCTTTCAGCATGTTCCAATACCACGCTGGACTTGTGAACGGCAGGGGAAGATGGTATGACCCTGCAACAGATAAGCACAACGGAGCACCTTTGGAAGTATTCAATGTTACCCGTGCTACAAAGTACAAGTTCAGAGTGATAGCGGCCGGTTCTCTTTATCCGTTTAGAATATCTGTTGATTCCCATATTTTGACAATTATTGCCTCGGATGGGTATGATTTAAAACCAGTTGTGGCCGAATCGTTTATCATAAACCCAGGGGAGAGGTTTGATTTCGAAATTACTACTGATGCAGCTGTCGATAATTACTGGATCAGAGGAGAAACTATCGAAGTTGATGTAAAGAATCATATTTTCGAAGCGGTGTTGCATTACGCAGATGCTCCATATAGTACCGATTGGGACAACATTATAACAAGTGAGAAATCTAAATGCAATGTCAACAAAACGTGTCTTGTTGTCAATTGCCCATTCACGTACTATCCGTCAGATACGTACACAGAATGTTTGCTATTTGACCAATTGCAAAATAGGATTGATACACCCGCTCCAGAATCGACTCCCGGGAAATTTCAAAATTATTTTTTGAATTTTGCCTTTCCCGGGACGACCTGGACGCCAGGTGCCGTTAATGGTCGTGCATTCAAAAATCCAACAGTGTCTGCATATTCTCAGAGGAGTGAATTAAAAACTGGATGTGACACGGGTTCTTGTGGATTGAACAAAGTTTGTTTATGTTCGAATAACTTACAGCTGAAATACGACGATACCATCCAGATGGTGTTTCTCAATCTCGGTAGGGGTAAGGGTTGGTCACATCCCATTCACATGCATGGACACAGCTTCTACGTACTCAAAATGGGGTATGCGGACTATAACAGTACAACAGGAAAACTAATCCGCGATAACACAGAAGTAAATTGCTTAGGCGATGAAGATTTGAACTTCTGTAATGACGCTACGTGGAGAAATACATCATGGATCAATAGCGATAATATTCCAGGACTTAATCTTGTTAATCCGCCGCGGAAGGATACCATTATCGTACCTACTGGCGGTTATGTGGTTGTGCGCATTAAGGCAAACAACCCTGGTGCATGGTTCATGCATTGTCACATAGAGCTCCATAATCTTGATGGAATGGCGATGTTCTTTGACGAGGCACCGGACAAACATCCACCTTCTCCAAAAGACTTTCCTAAATGTGGCGATTTCTCGTACAACCAAACAGACGATGATAGTTTAACGGCACAACGGGAAATTCCAGCCACAGGTCAGTGATTAGATATATTAACAATGAGAGAATATGCAACGGTCTTTCACTTAGATATCAAAGTATTTCTTCAATTGTGTCACATTTTGCCATGTTACTACATAGTATGCTAGTAAGCGAGCACTGTTTTGAAGAATGTGTAGGGCCTTTCTAAAACGTGTAAAATTGGGATCACAAGTGGAGTCTTCCAACATCACTAAGCTTTATACATGCAAGTCTCCGATTGGGTATGAAGGTGTGGGGGGGTCCCCGTTTGAACCACTTGACAACAATACCCAGGTTCATAATATTACACGTTTGCGTCCACATCCTCTCATTTGCGTGTCAACTAACGTCTCTAAAAACGAATATGTGAGGTCCAATTTTGTTAATCCAGGTAAACAAAATTTGTTACGCACACATATTCACACCTTATTTGTACAGATTGGATAGGTATTTCCAAATAAGAGCCTTTTTGTGAAAAATTCCACAGCGCGTTCTCCCGTAGCTACTTGTATTAAACAGTTTAGAAGGACATGGTCGTGTAGACTTATGTCAACTTGGGATTACTGCCTCCCCCTATCTCTTTTTTGCTGGGATCATATATCACAATCATTTGTTGCTTACACCTGTATACATAAACGGGTACGTAAATATTACATAGGGGAAACTACATCCAACGGACCATAATTTTACGCGCTTACGTACAATTTCTTTAAAACGTGTAGCTTAACCACCCTAATGCACACGTCCTTTAGTCGTATTGTTCAGAAGTAAGCATTAATTTGTTTCGATGTTTTTCAGATTCCGTGTACTCCTTGAGTTTGTTCTGGGGCGTGGTAGGGGCATTGCTGGCCATAGTACTGCTGCAGTTCGTCACTATTTTCTGTCTCCTTAAAAGATCTAGGGACAAATCATTTGACATCTCTACCCATATGTAACTCGGGCTCATCGACACCCATCGACTCAAGTTACACCCCTTCATAAATCTGGGAACCGGATGTCAACCGCTTTGGACCGGAAGTCCCCCGCTTTGGATCAATCTTCAAGTTGGATTATATTGACGAATTTAAAAAAATCATTAAATTGTCATACATTGCCATACTATTGTAATATAAATAGAAAACAAAATTCTTGAAGATTCAAATATTAACAGGCTTAAAACATTATCAAATAAAGACATCCGGTAGACGGTACAAGGGAGTTACTTATAAAAATAGACTTTGACATATCCTGGTACATAGCTGACATCTTTAAAATATAAGGCGAGGCCTTATAGGTGAGGTCAATCTAGCGTTATTGAGACATGCATCTACATTTGGACTTTATTTCACCGTTTTAGTTGAGAATAATCCGAATAAATATATTTTTGTAAAAATATGTCGAGGCAGTATCCTCGCCTGTATGTCCTACTGCGCCCATATATATATATGAAACATTTAAATATTGAAAAATATATCATTACCGTGGAAGTATATATCGAATTAGTTAAGAATAATGAGTAATGGATCCACACTTACTTATTTCATCGAGTAAAACCTGTGTATGTGGGGCGCATTTGCACCTAGTAATAGTAAAAAGTGTTCCCGGAGGTTCATTTAACAGGACTTGGTAAAGCGTTCCCCTGATAAAGGTGTTCCCCTAATAGAGGTGTTTCACTTACAGGTTAACAGGTTAAAGCATTCGAAGAGGTGTCGGTTTTTGGATCGTATTAGATGTCCAAGTGTGAAGTTAGTAATTTTCCTTTACAAGGAGTAATCTATGGGTCCATGTCTTTGGAAGACACACATGGCTGCCCAAGTTGTCTGATATTTGTCCATCAATAGTTTTCTTTTTTGGTAGAATGTTCATGAATTTTCGAAAAAATTGTAAAATCGTCAAAAATTCAGAAATGTACAATGCTTTTTGAGTCGAGTCTAGCAACAAGTACTTGTCACCCCCCCCCCTTCAAACCTATGAGAGTGTGTTTCGTCCAGGAGAGGTGGAGGGGGGGTCACAGAAGTTTGGAGCTAGACTAATTTGAGTCAAACAAGTTCAAATAAATATAAAAATACTATACACAGTCTATTCTAGTTAACCAGGAGATGATTCGTTTCATCAAGCATCGTGTAGACTTGTCTTGTGTTTCATTTCACTTTAATGTTTATCGTCCTTTTTTCTTAACAACGACGATTATTTCTTACATCGTGATGGACAAAATGTACCTCAACATTTTCGCATTTTTCTTAGCAAGTAAGTAAGTAAGTAAGTAAGTACGTTTAAGTTTATTCCAATTTTTAAACATGTTACATAATTATATACAATTTGACGCAAAGCGTATATTGTAGTTCAAGGATCAAAAGTCAATATTTGTTAATACAATTATTTAATGGAGTGCAGGAATCCAGGAAAAGTGAGATGGTAGAGTCTGTTAGAGTTACATATAATAAATTAATAAGTTGATACAATATGATATTCAAGTGCTGCCTTCAATATAACTGTATTGACACTGTGCTTAATTTCATTAGGTAGTTTATTATAATATGATGGTCCAATATTTTTAAGCGGCATTTAGGTTGGACTAAAAGGTGTTTAGACCTTGTGTCATGGCATGCTTTGAAATTTTTAAATAATCTTTAAAAATGTATATAGGAAAGCCAGGTGGTATGTTCAAGCATCTATATAAAAAATGTAGCAGCATTTATATGATACGTATCAAAAATTGTCAAAATGTTTCCTCTTTTGAACGGTGTACGGTGCTATCTAAAATGTGATTTTGTAATAAATCTGATACATTTCTTTTGAATAAGATGTATTGGTGTAAGTATGTTTTTTTAGATGACCCTAAATAATATTGCAATAGTTAATTTGAGAAATGAGAAATGAATGATATACTTTAAGTTAAGAGTCATGGTCAAGGATGTCTTTTACTTTATAGAAAATGCCTGTTATTCTAGATATCTTTTTTAGTAATATGCTGAATAGCTTTTTCCATTTAACTTTTCGTCAATAAATACTCCGAGAAAATTAACACAACTTTCTCTTTTTATTGGCACATTGTCAACATGTGTATTTATGTCATGGATAAAATTTCTGCCTCGAGTGAAAATTATGAAATTAGTTTTATCTAAGTTAAGAGATAGTTTGTTAGTTTTAACCATTGATTAATTGTTTGCAGTTCTTTGTTTAACAGTCTAACTAGTTCATCCATATTACGATTAGATATAAGTAAATTAGTATCATCTGCATATAATACAAATTTGATAAGATTTGAGGTTGAACTTATTTCATTAATATACATTAAAAATAAATCCGGTCAAAGTATTGATCCTCGAGGTACACCACATTTAATAATATCTTGATTTGAATAAATGTTATTGTAGCAAGTGATCTGTTTTCTGTTTTCTAAGTAGGAAGTGAACCATTTTCTTACATTTCCCCTTAACCCATGGAAATCAATTTTTTCAAGTAGAAATTTGTGATCAACAGTGTCAAATGCCTTTGATAAGTCAAGAAACAGTCATATGTTAAAGTTATTATCATCGAGAGATGTTCTGGGGTTTTCAAGAAAAGTTAAAATTGCCATATAAGTTGATTTGTTTGGTAAAAAAGAAAACTGACCTGAGCTCAGTATTTTCTGTTTAATTATGAAATCTAAGATTCTTTTATGCATGAGTTTCTCTAGCACTTTTGAAAAGATGCTAAGAAGAGAAATAGGCCTGTAGTTTCACTGTATACTATTTTGATCAATGCTTTCCAATTACTTATTTGGAATTGTTTTCAAACCAAGCTGTAATTGCACTTTTGCACCTCAAGTTTGTTCAATCCTTAGCAAAATTGTCATCCTTTGATTCTACCAAATGTATATAATGAAATACCTTCAAGGTATACCTGTCTAGTACATACTCATATCTTTTCTTATTTCATTATTTCAAGAAAAGTAGTCATTTGCCATGATGCTCCAACCTTAATCAATATTATAAGTGTGTAGTTTTTAATCCAGAAATGGTGACATAAATTGCGGTTATTGCACCTTAATCTAGCTCCATCTATAGGAACATATAGGCTGTAGGTGGCCATTTTATGATTTTGTTCTGTAACTGAAATAGTAGTTGAAGGATTTTGTAAAAAAACAGCCATGGCTGTTCGATGGGAATTTGCTACCTTTGCATTGCTGTAATCTAGTTCTGATTTACATTCAGGTTAGTGCAACATTCCAATTTACATTCAAGTCAATGCATTATTCAATTATACATATAAGACAGGTCAATGCAACATTCTTAGCTAAATACTTGTCCTCTTTTGATCTAACTTTTTTTTTAGAATTTTTAAGGAATTTATCTTACATGTAAGTGATATTAGTGCACATTCAATGGCATCTGCATTTTCCTCAACCACTATTATTCTCCAATTGCATCACTGATATAAACACTAGTGACCAGTGATACAAGTGGCCGTTCATCAACTTTGTTGCCAAAAAGATTTTCTGTTAAGGCTATTTCCTCTTTGGAAGATTTGCTAAGATGGTATGAATTGTAAGCATTGGTCTCATCTTGTTGGCTGATGTTATTTTGTTTCAGTGACTTCATTACCTGCTTAATTGTTGTTACTTGTTTGTACACAAAACTAGCTAACTGTTCTTTCCTAGTATCCAAAAGGTTTAGGAACTGATCTTTTTCTGGTGTGTCTAGATGGGATTAAATTTTTTCAAGCCAATCAGTGACATCGATATTTTGCAGGTCTTCTGCCAGAGCACTTTCTCCCTCTGCTTGTATTGACTCATGGTCGAGATATTCATTTGAGTCTGTTAGGTTATCACTTCTTTTTAAATTATCTTGTATAGTGTCCTCAATCAAACAGTGACGGCAGCATTCAAGATCCACCGTGGTGTCCCCTATTTCTGCATCTCGATAAAACTGGTTAGTTTTTCATCTTTGGCAGATTTTCTTGTTCTTATCAACATTAGTGAATAATCTTTAAAATCGGGTAAGTAACAGCTGAAAAACACAGCATAAAACGAGCAATTAAATTTTTTAAACAGAAAGAGATTTTTTGAAAAAACTTGTCAGTTTTACTTCTTTTTTTAAATATCACTATTATGGGGTCAGAACACACGTTTCTCCATCTCATTGTATTTCTGTGCTTATAATCCATCCAATAAGGTGCTACATAATGAAAACTTTACATTTCCTTGCATTGTTTGGCCTTGATCAAAATGTGGTAACTTCATGAAGATGATTTCCTTTTTACTTTTATATGCTTATTTAGTCGAGGTTTGCTCTATTGACTTATTTTTCCATCTAGACAAATTCCTGTGTCGTTCTCAGAAAAAATAAACAAACTATAAATTACTTTGGAAAAAATTCTACTCTTACCATTTTGTTTGCATTTATGTGCTCATACATGCACGTGTATGAGCACATAGATAGTTCATATATATACTCCTATGGTGTAAATTCTGTGTCAAAAGTTTACAGACATAATTTCGCTATTTAGGTGCACGAAAATGTACGATTTCGTGTGCTCTTTATTCCAGACGCTCTAAAAGCGAACGCTCTCCATTCCTGACGCTAATGTTCTATTCCAGACGCTATTTACCTATTCCCGACGCTATCTATTCTGGACGCTCTGAAACCGAACGCTATCTATTCAGGACGCTCCATTCTAGACGCCCACTATTAAACCGGACGCTATCGATTCCAGACGCTCTATTCCGGACGCTCCATTCTGGACGCTCACTATTAAACCGGACGCTATCGATTCCAGACGCTCTATTCCAGACGCTCCATTCTGGACGCTCTATTCTGGACGCTATTTAACCGGTCGCTTTCTGCAATCAGGACGCTCTATTCTGGACGCTATTTAACCCGACGCTTGTATTCAGGAAGCTCCATTCCGGACGCTCGATGACATTAACCTTTAAAGCTCTCCATTCTTATTCTGATTGATATACCATGAACGAATTGCATTAACACCGACCTCAACATATCACAAGGGCAATACAATATTAATCACGCGCTTCTATCATATCGTAGTAAAGTTTCGAACATTTTCAAAACATGGCGTATATA